AATCCCTCACAAAATACGGTGTCCACGGACTCTCGCGCACAGCAGGATTCACAAAAGAAAGAAGTGTGTACATGATAGAAGAACGCGGCTAAATAGTACTGGCCGTTCATTAGTCTAGTGGCCGATGGCAGTTGTTGAAAAACGAAGAAAAGAGAAAACGGTTCAAGCGATGCCCAATGCATTCCGCGTCGCCCCCGCTCCGTGTCGTCACCTTTCCGTGCGGCTTCCCGTCCTTCCACTCCCCGTCGAACGTCCTTCCATCCGTCCAACGCTGCCACCCCTGTGAAATAATGCTATCGGCGATGAGAAAGAAGGCCGTTGGGAAATTTGGTACAGCAGCTACAACTACAAGATCAACAACAGCAGAGTAACAGCTACAAAATATCGCGAGGCAAAACAACAAAGACAGAGGCAACCAATATGTGCCATCACGAGAGAGAGCGCAAAAAACTGCTTCCTCAAACAACACTCTTCCGTAACTCACTGCATTCATACCAACCCGAAGCAAAGTAGGGTAATCAAAACGACACCCGACAGGGAAGGAAGAAGATGAAGCGCGTCCGGTCTCCAACCGGCCGCTACAGCACATCATTAGCACCAACGAGAGCCAGCACACACACGACCACAGAACCCACGCAGCATCTCTGACAACGACCAAAACGACACAACAGAGGGAAGACCGCGTCGTCGTCCGATAAAAAAAGTAAGTAATAAACAATAAACATCGGGGATTTTATAGACCTCTGCAAAACTGATTCTACGGTGCCGCCTTACCTTGCCGTCTCTCTTGCCCTCCTTCCACTCGCCCCGGTACTTCTTCCCAATGTGCCACACCATCTCGCCCTGTCATGTCACGTGTGCGTCACCCACGGGAAAAAACAAGCCAAGGTATGGGCGTGGCGAATGACACCAAAAGCATCGTCGTGCGTGAAAACCGACCGAAATCAGGAAGAAGAGAAGAATCGAACAAACCGAAACACGAAGAGAATGTCCCGCCCACCACTCACAATAAACTCAAGACCCTCTCCCTCTTGTTTCGGGCAAAATCCCATACTACTGGCTGGTTCCTCCGCAAGAAAACCAAAACTTGTTTTGGGGGTGGGGATTAAGCTTTTCCTAATGCAATTAAACACTACAGCAGTGGTCCCTGTATAATGCCGGTGAAAGCGCTTGACACAGAAGGAACTTGTTTCATACTCTGAACAATGCAGGTTGCCGACGTATCAAGCGGGTTCAAGGGGCTGGCGCCTAATGGCACTGTACCGAGACCACTGTTGTACATACCTCGCCGTGTGGGATGCCCCCTTTGGTGCTGCCGGAGTAGTCCCCGAACCCGTGGGGTGGCCCCGCATCGTACCGCATTTCCGTCACCTTCTAAGACAAAGGGGGGGGAGGGGGGGGGAGGGAGGCGCANGGGGGGGGGGGGGGGGGGGGGGGGGGGGGGGGGGGGGGGGGGAGGGAGGCGCAGAGATGTGGAAAGCGATAGACACAAGAGAGAGGCAGAACGACAGTTAGAGTTGGAGGTAGAGAGGGAGAGAGATAGAGAGTGACAGAGAGAGAGAGAAAGAGAGATAGGGGGAGCTATCGTGGAAAGCGGGCCCTGGTCGTACGGTTGACATGACATCACTCAAGCTCAACACGCTTCGAACAAAAGCTTCCCACCGAGTGAGGCAAAACGAAGGTACAGGGCCAGAGGTCGTGAACAACTCCGCGTCATCCCCGCTTGGACGCTCAACCATTAAGGGCTACTGGCTGTGGTGGTACTTGGGTAAGGCCGGGGGTATACGTTTTTCTGTCTGAAACCGGCGCTACATGTACTTCGATATATACTCTATATGATAAAGCGGGGGCACATTCTTCTGGGGAAAAAGCGTGCCCCCGAAAAAAACAAGAGGGAAAAGGGGGCACGTCGACGCCTCGGAGGGGTAGAAAGAAAACCGATCGAATCGTCCACAGCACTCCCACCCCTCCTGCTCTGTGTCAAACATGTAGTTGTCGTAGGTATCCTGAACAGCACGTGTGTACACGGACAGCAGCAGCGTTCATACACCTACGTATATGGGAGCAATCAATCAAATACAAGGTGTGATTCTCTCCGCTGGGTACTTTTTACTGTTTTCTCGTCCAGCAGCATCGTCGCCTGGTGTTGATGGTTTTCGTCCTGTTTTCTTTCTTGGAAATACTTCTACGAAGCTTGTACATTGTAATACTCATGTACATTGTGGTATAATGGCAACTATGAACGAGCGACAGATGCCCGTTCGAGAAAATATTACAGTACCCCGTTAGAGGTTCGCAGGGATGCGTAGCAATTAATCTTGGTACGTACTTGGTCAAGGGAACCTGCTCCTGCTGTTGGACTTCTATGTTCTTTGAATCTGTTTTTAGCCTGCTGCCGTATGCAGACACTGCTGTGATGCCATGCCAGCGCGGCGCCAAACGACGCGGTGCCAAACGAGTGGGAAACAAAAAATAATCATCAATTTCATCCCATCTTGTGCAGAAAAAAATGGAATCACACATGTATCAAGAGGCGGACAGATAGCTAACTTCTCCTTCAAGCAGACCGGCTTTGAAAGCTCGATTGCTCTACAGGCAAGTGGGTGCGGAAAGAGCCCTCGACATGTTTCCAAAGCCACCCCTGTTGGTGTCGCCACAAGCTCGGTTGTTGAGCAGTCGATCTTTGAATCGGTCAATTATTGGGGGGGTGCCGTGCCATCTCTCTCCGCCTCTAACGGTATGTTCTTTCTAGCAACGTCCAAACTTGTCTATCGACCTCTCGTCAGATCCAGCCAGCCCTTCTTCCTTCCGACATCACCCAAATCTGCAGCACACAGGGACATCAGCCGTACTCAGGCACTCGCCGCGAACTGGAAATTTTCGTCCTTCGACCACCGACACAAAGTCGGACTAAAAAAACAATAGATCATCCCTTCAACTACTACTGTTGCTGTGGTGTGTTATCTGAACGGGTAGTCTAGTCTTGCTGTGCCTGAAGCCTGCAGTGTATTTCCTAGACAGACTAAAAGATGTCGAGAGCATTCCTTTCACCGTTGCACAAGTTGAATCTGGTTGATCATTAGCAAACACAACACAAAACACCCATGTACAGCAGCGTGCAGAAGCATACACAACAGGACGCACGATATCATACGCAACAGAAATCCATTTGAATGTAGCTCATCCTCACACCGACCGCCATTGTGCAGTGTAAGCCCGAGGGTGTTCGTTCAACGTCCGCTACAGCAGCAGTACCTAACCGTTTCGAACGGTTCGACCAAAGGTGATCAGCACAAGCACCGCTCCAAAAAAAATCCCCGCCCTTCAGCTGACGAAATTGTTTCTTCTCTCGATTCCAACAAGAACGACTGCTGTGGGTACATCTCAAATGGGTGGTCTTTCTGTGTGTGCGTTTATTTTTCCTGAAGAAGGAGCACCCTACTGCATCTGCATCCTGGAAAAAATATTGTGGTGGGGAGGATAGCGTGCCCAACGCACGACAGGAAGGCTGCAGGGGTCGACCATACAACATGAGACAAATCATTTCAGGATCAATTACGACAGAGACCGGTAACGTTGTCCATCCGTCCCCCCAATAACTTCTATGCATATCGGAATAAGGAGAGACGGAGCGGCTGCTCTAATTAAGGTTGGACGAACAACGACCCCCCTGTAGACTACTTGACAACAACGGATAAGCAGAGACATGTTCATCCAGCAATAACAATGTCTGTCCGGCTTTACCTGCACACAAGGGGTGTTTCAGCAGGCAACAGACAACCAACACCACACCTGCCATCGAATTTGGGCATGAACATGAATGTGTGTACGCACGAGCCGCCACCTGCCGCAGACATGAGGCAATCTCCGTCGCTCCCTCCTCTAGACCGCATACCAAAATACTTTGTACACAAACTCGTCAATAATTATTCTAGCGCGCGCTGCGGGTGTTACATCACAAGCCGAAAGCGGCGCGCCGCCCCCAACCCTCACATGCTTCAGGAAAATGATTGCAGCAAATTTCCAAAAAAAGATTTTCTTTTGGGGGGCGGAAACGGTTTTTGAGCACACAGCACCAGGGCAACGGGTTACTTGCGAGGGAAGGTCCGCATCCTATTTGTGTTGAAATCAGTCTTGTGAGCGAAAAAAGGCCCAGGTCTCTTTAGTTCCGAGACTTCCAACTGTGCTCTGCCGTTCACCTTTGTACCACACAACACCATCGCACAGGGAGAAACCCAGTGTCGCACCACAAGTAGAGTGGGGCAATTACCGCGTGTGCAGTGGCTGCTGAATTAGGCTGTGTCATTTGGCGAACTGTGTAGTATTCTGTCCGTGTTCGTCTTACACTCCGTATAATCTACAACACACCCCGTATGTACGCATGCGGACAGCGATTGGTGCTTCAATGAACATATTCTTCGAAAACTGAAACTACGATAGATATGGTAATGGATAGAGTGGTCGTGTCGTGTTTTACGTTCCTCACGACACACGCGTGTCCGGCAACTTACATACGAGGCGTTGGCTATAATCTACAATCGCTGGTTTCGAATCTCAACGGTGTGCGCGAACTTACGTACATCCTGCAGCATCCTTGATGCAAAGCTCGGTGGTTGTGTGGGCAAAGCACAACTTTTGAGTTTCCTCCGCGCTTACCCCAGATTTAAAGAACAAAAAATTACTTGGAGGGTGGATGTGGCCGGGTTGTTGCAGCCGGGGGAAGGTGTAGGATGCAACCTTTTGTGGTTGTTCTATGCGTAGGTTGATGCAGCAGGCACGAGTGTGCGGGTCTCCGGGGGGAGTAACAACGCGTCATGCTTGATGCACACGGTGCATTGGCGTAGCCGTTGAAAAAGCTTTGCGTGCGTGTCAGCCGCTCCCGCCGATGAATCTTTTATACACGTTGGAATGTAGTCGGAAAAAAAAAATCTGTCATCATGCGCACGGGGTGTGAGGTGTGCGAAAAGAGACGAGCGGCACCGCACCCGTGACGCTTGCTACTAGTGCCACCGAGTTGGCCTTGCACTCCAGGCAGTGGTTGGGCACAACACAGAGCATGGGTGTGAGCACGATCCTTGCGCATCATATGAATGCAACAACCCTATACAAACGAACAACTTGCCGTCTCTCACACTCACGGTTTTTGAATTGCTGGCATCTTCTTGGTGGGCACCATCGCGCTCCTCCAACTCCGCCTCCTCCTCCTCCTCCTCCTCCTCCTCCTCCTCTTCTGCCGACGACGACTCAATCAGGTGGAGCCCGTCGCTGGACATGTTCTCCCGTCCTAGCCACGGCTTCTTCGCCTTTGGCCTACCGCTCTCTTTCCCTGCTGCGGCCGGGGAACCTGCCGCAGGCACAAGCGCAGCCGACTTCCCCACCGCCACAGAACGCTCGGGCACAGCAGGAGGAACGCTGTTGCCGCCAACGGTACTACTTTTTGGGACGGTAGACGCCGGCGGCGGGGGGGGCTGCTGCTGTTGAGGGTCGCGGTTCCCTCGCTGGAGGCTTTCCATGAGCTGGAGGATCCGCTGCGCTGGTTGGGCCTTCCGTCGCTTCGGGCCAGCGTTTGTTTCCATGGCTCTGGGCTCCGGTTTCGTCGGTGCCAAGTTGACAGCGGTGGTGGTGGTGGCCATTTTTTCTTCCCCCGTCTCAAGCGTACTCTCACACTCTCTCCTCTGCAGTACAACAATACCCTTCCTTTCGCACGCCACCGTCCTCAAAGCGTGACGCCCTACCTGCTGCTGCTGCGCATATCTCCGGTTGTTCTGACCAGGAACAACACCGCTCTTCCCACAAAGAGTCACCAGTAGCCAGTGCGCTATGTGTGCACGCGGTGCACGCGGTACGCGGAACGTCGTCATGCATATCCTGCCCAGAAAATGCACACGCGAATTTTCGGAAGCGTTCACCGCCAATCAGCTGTCTCCATCTAACTTGGCGCCCTCTTGGCGTCCTGTCTATTTTCGAGTAAATTAGGCAAATTACGCCGCATTCTTCGGGGCACCGCATTCGAACCAACCAGTCCACAGACCACAACACATCAGCCGGAAGACTCAGAGCAGCAACTAGCGCGTACTACAGCCCTCACAACAGGAGAGCAGGAGAGCCAGCATGTCTCACGCCACGGCGGATCGTTCGCCTGCGGAGGAAAGCATCCCGAAAGAATGGCCTTCGCGATGTCAATTCACATATCTCTCAGAACCATGGCTCCCCTTAGTCCAACCTATGGTACATGACTATAACAACCAACAGTTTGTTGTTGTTGTTGTTTTTCTCCCATCATTGGACTCTGTCGTCTGCCCCTCTGGCCCCTATCCTCCACTTCTACTAGCTAGACGACCCAACCGGGGTCACAGAGGAGGGGGGGTTGGACCCCCTCCTGCGGTTCATGTCTGAGGGATTTTTATCGCGAGAAGGGTACAGCAATCCCTTCCCTCGCGACTTACGAAGTCGATTATGGTTTACTAACAAACGAGCTTTGCAGCGCGTCGCTTTCATCCTAGACCAGGATTTATTTAGTGAGAAAAACCTCTCTCTGCCGGGACTCGAACCCATGACCTGGCCCTTAGCAGGCTGCGAGGCTACCCACTAGACCACCGGGGCGACCGGTACGTACCACAATTGGTTGTTGTAGTTTTAGCTATACCGTAGGGTCCAACAACAAAAATACCGATGCTATATATTTCGCGCGAAGCGCGAAGAGAAGGGTCGGAGGGAGACATCAAAGCATTGCCAAGCGCAGGTAGACATGGATGGAGCCTACACCACCACGTAGGTCACCAGTGCGCACGCTCACACTTCACCCGATACCACCAGTCAGTCAGGGGATGAATGGGAGCGCTGTTTAGCTCTATTCTCATCATCATCAGCTCAGCGGTAGCGGTGCTGCTGCTCCTCCTGCTGCTTGCTGTTGCAGCCGCCTCTGCTGCTGTGCATGGGTGCGCACTTGCTTTCGTCGCTTTCGCTACTAGCAGAGGGCAACGGGCTCTCAAAGTTGGCCCGGACCGCTCCCACGACGTGTGTTTTTGGTCGCCCTTGGCTTGCAGGGCTGTGTACGTCTCACTTGTCTGTTTCTGGGGCGTGTCTGTTGTTGAAGGAAAGATCGGCCCGCAGACGAACAGACCGCAGAGACCTGACTTACGTGCACCACGCTGCTAGCACTAGGCCTCGGGGTCTAAAAATAGCGTCCGACGCCAGCCATGATGTGTGCCTTTGGCCGGCCTTGGCCTACAGCAGTGTGTAGGCCTCGTCTCTGTTGTGGGGATGCGTCTGTGCGGGAAGCTCCAAAGATCGCTGATGCAGACGGACCGCGGATTGACTTGCATTGCGTCGTCACTCGCTTGTTGTGCTGCCGACAGCAGGCAACGGGCTGTAAGAGTCATACCCAACGGGCTTCCATTGGCCTACAGCAGTCCGTACACTGCTGTGCTGGTTGTATCGTATGTTGTCTACGTGATGTGTGTGGTGCTGCTGTGCAGGAGGATTTCGGTGATTCTGCCGAGAGCGTGGTGCCCATCCCCCAATCATCTATCTGTCTCTGTCTTACACAATGTATTACAAACTCGACGGGTGATTGGTGGGAGGTGGGCATCCACCCGGCTTTACCCTCTGAAACAACACATCCCCTTCGAGTGTAGTTATACCTCGAACGGGTAGTCTTTTTGTGTGTATATTTGTTTCTCCTAATATTGACAAGTGCTTCGAGACGGCCCCATGAGGTAGCCGAAGTACCCTGGTTAAAACTGGTGTAATGACGTGCCATTAGTCTGGTCTGGTGCCACGTTCATATGCGTGATTTGTCTTCCGACATCTAACCGCACACCCTAGGTTTTAACCCATCCAATATACAGCAAATGTATCTGTTGAAATGGTAGCATACATGACTGTATGTAGATACGTACGTACCTAAAATGACAGTTGAATAGAGAGATTGTCATAATGATGATGCATGTGTGCATACTGTAGCCTTTCTGCACGTATACTTGTTTTTCCTAAATACTGCTGTAAAAAGCCCCCCTCGAACGACTATGATTTTCGGTCGAACAGGGAGCTTTTATGTGTTTAACGGGTAGTCTTTCTGTGTGCATATTTGTTTTTCCTAATATATGTATTTTTCTAAATTAAACCAGCAACTACTACTGTCAAAATGACATATTGCGCCGTGTTCCCTGTGCAGGCCACATACATGTAAATGTACCTACGCAGATGTTTTTTGTGCTAAGCACCAACTGGTATCACTGATATAAATCATCAGTGTATAGGCTTAAACAAACTCGAAATAAGTCAAGTACCCAGCTGGTTTTCCTCTACTCACTGTAAAGACTTCAACACATCCCCTTCGAGTGTAGTTATACCTCGAACGGGTAGTCTTTCTGTGTGTATATTTGTTTCTCCTAATAGATAATTGTTGGAAGTTCTTCCGTGTCTTACAAAAAAATAAGGAGAAATAAATACACGCACAGAAAGAATACCCATTCGAGATATACCCACACACAGTCGAACGGGATGTGGTGGAGTCTTTTCAGTAAGTGGAGGAAAACCGGCTGGGTACTGGATTTATTTCGAGTCTATATAAGTCTATACACTGATGATTTATCAGTGATGCCAGCTGGTGCTAACTAAGCACAAAAACATCTGTACAGAACAACATATTCGCCTGATTGAGAGCGTAGCATCTGATTGAGAGCGAGATTGCGCGATACGCTGTAGCCGGACTACCACTGAGAGGTGGAGCTTG